TTTCGTGTTTTTGTTTATACCAAAATCGGACCAATAAATGATGTTTAACATTTCGTTCGTCATACATCCTATCATAAAAGTCCAAAGGAACAATATTTTAACATTTTTAATATTTCCAAACGGCATGTGTTATGTAATTTTAACATCAAATTTCTGTTTCGTTTGGCTCCGAAATTTCGGAAAACAATCATGGTAGGCCCTCAGATATCTACCGGTACGGGCGGAGAGAAAGGAATTGTTTTTTAATGGATGATAATGGAATGGTAACCCCGCCTGCACTATTGGGGCACCAGTGAGGGATGATAGGTGAGGATGAAGTAGGTCAGTTAGCCCACCGTGACGAATCTAACAATAAATCAATCATGATGGTTTCCAGCGGGAACCACGAGGAGGTCGACCTGATATAGTATATTGCTAGCAATTGGGATACTAATCCCCATTACTAACAATCCCTTCTTCCCCCGAGAGGAATTGTTAATAAAGGGAACGTTAATTCCCATTGCTAGCAATATATCCTGTCAACTTCCACGCGTTTCTTTCTGGAAACCATTGTAATTAATTGTTGTTGAATACGTTACAATGGGCTAACAGACCTCACCTATTACCACATATCATCGCAGATGGCGTTATCACTCCATTATAATCCTCTAAGACTGATACTTTAATGATTTCCGCTATTCATGTTCTATCCAACATATAGATATGTATTATTAATTTTTACATAAAATCAGAGAATTAGGTAATAAATATCAATTTCGTTAACCACCTTCAAAAAAGTAGACTCCTCTGTCCCGCTGTATATTTTTCACGAATTAGGTTGGGGTAAAACAAGCGGGTCAAAGTTTCCCATGCGGAAGTCTTATACAATTTCTCTGACAATTTCGTATCTTCAGAGTTTATTTATTTATTTTATTTATTTAACACTTTATTGCACCAACATATCATGATTTGTTAAAACAATTTTCAATACGTATAGTGTAGTACAAAAGGCGGTCTTATTGCTAAGCAATCTCTTCCAGACAACCTTTGGGTAGAAAGGATTAAAGCATAAGTAGGTAGGTGGCGCGTTAAAAAAGATAGATTTGTAAAAAATAATATTTGTGACAGCATAGTCATATACATATACATACATAAATAAACACATACAACCAAACATATACATATATATACATACACATAAATATATATACATACATATACATATATACGCATAAATACATACAAATATACCATATTAATACACATATATATAACACACATAAAACTGGAAATACGTAGGACTAAGTGATTATAAGGATAGGTAGTGGGCTTTAACTAAGTTTTTAAAAATGGGCAACGATTGAGCGCACCGTATAGAGGTAGGGAGTGAGTTCCACAAACGAACTGCTTGCACGGAAAAGGATTTGGAGTAGAAAGAGGAAGAATGGGTAGGAATTATGAGTTGGAGGTTGTCAGTACTACGTAAAGAATAAGAATTAGAATTGCTATCTCCAAGAAACATAAAACGTTCTTTTAAATAATGAGGTGTAACTGGATTAAAGAGAATTGAGTAAAGAAGGGAAAGGATGTGCCAGTTACGACGAAGACGGATAGAGAGCCACTTGAGCCGTGTACGATATTGGGATACATGGTCATATTTGCGAAGTCCAAATATGAACCGTATACATAAATTTTGAAGACGCTCAAGTTTATTTAACTGCTCTTCAGTGACATTTGAATAACAGGAATCGGCGTAGTCAAGGATGGGGAGGAGCAATGTATGAGCAAGCGCAATTTTGGTATCCATAGGAAGAACCTTACGCAACCTGTAAAGGGATCCAGTTGCCGCAAACATCCTCCTGCTAATCTCAGCAATCTGAGGTGACCAGGATAAAGTACGTAAAGTAAGTAAAGTAATGTGATATCGAATGCAAATCATTGATAATTTACAGTTGATCAGACACTTATAATTATTCAATAATAATATCTTGTAATTAAATACAAAACTAATTATAATGTGTTAATTCCAACAATAATACAAATGTTTATTTTTTTAATTCTGTAGATGATACATACAGCGCCATCTAGTGAGACATGTTAATAATATTCATCTTACGACTTAATTATAATGCTTCTACTCGCCGATAGATGGACAAAACGGTACGGACGTAATGAATTAAAGTTCGATTAACATTATTAAAGCTTAGATTATAATTATATGCAAATAATAAACAATTTCTTTTTTCTTTAGTTTTTTATCATTTCCTTATGGCAGTTACAAATACATTTTTTTCATAATATAGAAAACTCTACCAGATTATATTGTTTTTTTTTTCAGAGTGACCGGTGCTAATGTTTTAAGATTTATATTACGAGTAGGTACCTAGTTACGATTGCGTTCTCTTTTACGTATATAACTATATTTTCCAATTAAAATGTAAGTTCGTTTTATAAATGTATATATATTTTTTTTTACGGAGAAAGACAGAATATGCTAAAATATAGAACGGCGAAGCATAAGTGAAGAATGAAATGATGCGGACATAATCAAGTCAGTTGGCTCATACTGGCAAATTCAAAATGAATTAATCTCAAAGGTTTCCAGAGTCAAGCGAATATAGGCCGTTTTATAGAGAATATTGCTAGCAATGTAGGTGTTAACGTCCAGAATACGTAATTAGAAAATTCCATTATACAATTGGCCAGGTGTGTCAATTACGGCCATTAGATATTTACATGCCAACTGATCCGAGCTCTTGCATAAAACTAAGGTCTAATGAAGTGTCAATAAATATATACTTTGCTTGTGAGAAAAAATGTTTTAAATGATTACACTGGTATAACTAATTTCCGTTTGTCTGCTAATGATGAATACGAGATGAGAAGCAAAAATCATTTATTAAAGTTTAAGTTTTTGTAATACTTGACACTCTCTAAATTTAATAATTCTAATATCATTGAACTTCATAATGTTACAAATATTATATTTTAGTAGTCTATTCTTCATTACTAATTGATAAATGTGAAAAAATATTTATACTTTATAGCAAAATCCCTTAAAAATGTGTGAACCTATCAATATTTGTTACATTTATAGTGAAGTGATATTTGTTATTTATTGCTTTGTCAAAAAATCTTTTTGGCAATGACAAAAAATTTATATTTATTTTTTCTTAATGATACTTTGAATGACAAAGAAGCTGACAGTCCACCTGATGGTAAGTAATAACCGTCGCTTATAGACTGAGCCATTGACATCATATGCAGTGTAATTGAGTAACAAACATTCAGACATCTAAATAACCACATTACATCAAAGCATTAAAAACTTTCACATTTAAAATATTAAGTACAATATCGTCACAGATTATACTGTGACGCCCACGGTGTAATGATGTGGGTTATGCCCCTTATCTCAAAGAGTGCATTCAGACCGAAATAATTACACGCGCGTTGTTGCTATACAACGGCCTAGCCATTCTACTCATTACTTATTCTACCATTTATTAACTAGTTTTTACCCGCGCCTTCGTCCGTGTAACCGGGATATGTTTATTTTAAACGACTTAAAAAAATGAGAATGTTCTCAATTGGGTTGACTTCTTTTATGGATTAAAAAAAAATTATAGGGGACCAATCTGTAAGTATATCTTTTTAGATAAAAAAAAAAATTAAATTGGTTTAGAATACACAGAATTATGAGGCAACAAACATAACAAAATACTACCGAATTTAGAATCTCCTTTTTGAAGTTGATTGAAATGTACATTTATCATTCAGTAGTATGTGGAAGAAATTGTAAGGTAAAACTAAAAAGTAAAACAATACAAAATTTTCACGAATATATTTAAAAGAACTAGATAAATAATGCATAATGACTCATAATGTTGCTTATCTTTACCAATTATTTTGATTAATATCTAAATATAGGTTTAAAATATATTTTTGTTTATTACTAAAAATAGCCAATATTTTAATTAATACATGTACTATTAAAATTTTAGTTAAGAAAACGAATAAATAACTGTAAACAAAACAAACATCTGTAGGTACTTTATACCTTATATTTAAATTAAAACTAATTTTACTCCAAATACTTGCAACACTGAAAAAAAAACGGCGCGTTTTCTGTTGATTTAAAAAATATTTAGTCAGCCAAACATCAATTTACCTGACTAATTAGTTGGCCCGTTTTTTGTTACTGGATGCCCTATCTAATAATCTAAGGTTACATGCATGAACCTTATCTCTTCACACAATACGTCTTTACGAAGTTAAACTTTCAATCTCTTATCTTCTATAACTGCTATTTTACGAGTAAAACATTAATTTTATTATTTCTTAAGGATACAACAAATTTTGAATACTCCAGCTGCTCCTTTCACTTTCGCGCCAAAACTTTAAAACAGATTACCACTTAACACTGCAGGGTCAATTTCAGAAAAAATATACAGATCGCGATGCAAAATGTTGCACTCGAATTTCTCTACCACCTTTCTCTTTCAAGCTTGCAGCTAGACGATATGTAGTAAAAGAGACGGATGAGCACGGATTTAGTAGATGGTTCGAGAAAGGCTATATTAGTGGCCAGTGACTATTGAGCCGAAGAGAGTTAGGTATTGTAGTGCAGTAATCATGATTAAATCATTGAACGTACAATACGTTACATAAATAAATATTATACTAACCTGTATTTCCTGCATACATTGGCATAAATATAAAATAATAATAAATAAGTATAAATATATTTTTAATTATTCTAACCATTTGTTAATATTGACTGAACTTATAAATGTTCTTTAATAAAATATCTTTGTTATAAACACCTGTTAGTTGCCCTTTATAAAGAAAATTTTTCTATAAGTCTATTATCAACTTCTCGTCAGATGGCGCACCTTTTATTCTAAACCTTTATTATCTATATTCCCTAAAACAGGTGAATAAAATTTAAGTGCATATAAAAGCAATTATTATGAATGAGCACATGCCGGTATCAATGTCTGCCGCGCCTCACTCGCTCAGCGCCGAAGCGCGTCGTCGGACGCATTCGATGAAAGTCCATCACCGGAGCATTCATAGCTTTCTATCACAATTTCAATACCTACTAGACACAATTATAAGTAATAAACTGAATTCCCGCCGAAAAAACTGTCAAATCATAGAAATTGTGGCAGTCATCGAAATTTAAAAATCGAATTCGAAAAAATTAAGTTCGAAGTGAAAGATTTTTAGTGCAACGAAAGTGAATAATTTGATAGTGTTGGAATTGGCAATATCCGATAGTTGGTGAAAGAAATACGTGTATTGTTCCTGTTTGTCCTGAGAAATTTAATTTTAATCAAAATGGATTTAAGGTATGGTTTAGTAGTAAATTATATATACTTATTATACTAAACATTCTTATGAACTAACGAAATGTACTAATGTATGCAATTTAATATATCTATAAAAATCTTAATTACTTTTCTCTAAATAATTGTTACTATTAATAACCACTTAATATTGGGCATACTCAATAGGTTTACTTATGATTTGCAGAATTGCTTTTCTGCTGTCATTTTGTAATACTAAACAATAATGACTGTTAGAAGAACTTTAAATAATTACAATATTATTTTATCAATGTTATAAATACAATATTGGTTTTAATTTTCTTCATACACATGTAAAGGCGTTATGATGCTATTGAATGTAAACAGTAAAGAATTTTTAAGATTAGAAGATCTTAAAAATTCGTGATGGTTTTATTTAAATTTTAGAACGTGCGAAACAGGAGAGAAAAGAACAATGAGAAAATACTTTTATCGGAAGCAGGAATTAACTCGTTCTAGTAACTCCGACAAAATGAAGAAAGGATCATTAATGTAATTTAGAAACTAACAAAAACTGCAGACTACAAATGAAATATGTCTACAAATTAAAAAAACAATATACAATAATAATATACATCTTACAATAGGAATAGATTATATAGTTGGAAGAGATTTTGTATTCACCACATTACCTAATGTTTTGTTCATAACATGTATTCATAACAAACTATAAACAAACCTATTACATCCGTATAACAGTAAGGCCCAAAATAATAACAGTACAAGTAACTAGGGGTTACATGAGTAGATCATCTACAGAATAGAAAGCTGATTTCTCGATCCTGGATAACGAGCGTGTAACCTTCCTATATACACCACTTACCGGTCAAGCTGGATTCCACTTTCGTCTCTCACAACTACTATATACCTTTCTGTCTTCCAAAAAGAAGCTTGATTCCTTTGCTTGTTTTACTTTTTTTTTACAGTATTTGAATCACGTACATCATTATTTGAATTTGCTACAGAGTTACAGCAATTTACTGAAGAAAACAGTCGGATTACCGTTAATTTTATTTATACATATTTTGGTAGAATCTATATCTTTACAACGAAAATATTACTGTATTTATATATAGATATTTATTTTCTACTATTTGCTCATTATATTTTTTAAACTTTTGCTTACGGTTGACTAGTAGATAAAGCTTGACTGGTGATGAAGTTCAATAAATAAATATTAATATTCGATACCACAAATGTTATTATATAACATATCCTGGTTGCATATAATATAGATTCGAATTGTAATAGAAGGTAGCAAGGTACTTGCCGGTTACATTTCTTTCATCCTTTCACATGATTATTCAAAAACTTTCCCACGCATAAGCTAGTTTTGAACTTGATATTTAAGCATGCAAGTTTTAAGACAAATAAAACTCTGAGAACACTTCAGAGATTCAGGCCTTATATTTGGGGCCTAAATCTCTAAGAGTAGTGAATCGTTTCTAAATATATCACACACTATATTTACAATATACACTATCCTTCTTATTCATGAAACGTTAAACCTCTCATAAACTTATTTTAGCTATTAAACTGTTTTGTCTATTTATTTTACACTAAATTCCCGATTTAAGAGAAAGTGGCAAAACAGTGTAATAGTTAAAATAGACTTGTTTTAGGTTTTTTTACTTGTTTTAGGAAAAATGGAAATACCTATGTAATCACGAATTATATGACATCACGGTCACATAGGTGGTTACTAGTTACTTAGGTAGATTAATATTATACATGTTACAAATTTATTTTAACATATATGAGTTTCTTTATATTAATATGTTGCGATTTAAATATATGTAGTTTAGCAATGACTGACAGTCTGCGAAGTCGTTCAATAATTTACGCGGTTAAAGTTGCGGATATCGTATGGTAATTGTATAATTTAGCTATCAATTAAACGTGTTAGATAATTAGAAGAGATATTTATAACAATGCCGGTGACCTAAAATACTGAAATTATCCACACGAGTGTTAAGAAAAACTTATGGATCCTATCTATCTAGAGATTTGCGCACGCAATCTTACGAGTACATTTAATTGTTACAATGTATGACGTCACGGTATATACTATCGGACATTACTCCTTTTGATTACTCATCAAGGTCACACAGGGTAGAAGACGCCATCATGCAATGAATGATCTTTATTTGGCATGGGAGATGATAGAAAGAGAATCCATAAGTAATATTATACATATTAGTCAAATGAAATGAACTAAATTTGAGGTTATAATGAAGCATTTAAGAGAAATTCTTAATTATATTGAATTTGATTCAACCATAGTGTATTATCAATTATATATTCCAGGTGAAATTTAAATTATTGACACCTTACTAAGGAAGTGTACTATTAGTAAAACTAATCTTTTCCCAAAGATATTTGCCAACTGAACGTGTGATAGATAATACCGTCATAGTCGTAGAATACTGACGGATCTATATATGTAATATTTGTCAGATCCGTCAGTATTCTACGACTATGACGATATGAGTGGCTCAATTTTTTACTTTTTATCGATTTCTCTATGAAAAATAATATCATTGGTAGAACACTATATTACAAGTATAATAATGATTCCGATTTCACCCTGTATACATAATGTAGTAAACGATGGTTGCATCAAATTAAATATCTCTCCGGATTTCTCTTTACTACTTTATTTCAACATCCTGGGCAGTTTTTTTAATTTGGTTATTATGTATAAGATTGTATATATACCGCGGGCTATCTTACTCTTCAGACCGAAACACAACAATCCACGCTTTGGTGATTTACGACATAAATAACTAAGGCCATGGTATCTAACCAGGAGGAACGCATAAAACTTTAACATCGGATTAGTACGAGTTTAAAAAAAATACAGTTTTATGCATATTGTAATACGATATATATCATATAACCTTCCAAGTTTAATAGAACATCTCGTGCTAAGGATGAAATAGTAATGGACAAGAATGACTTGTGTAAAAAAAGTTTTTTTAACTCTCCCGATGACCAGTAAATCGTCTTCATTATTATTTCTACCTCCCTAAATCTGGTTATTTAATTAGAATTATTCGTTCGACATCCAAACTGCCAAGGACTAATTTGGGTGCTGAACGGTTAACACTAAGCTCCTAACAGCGATCTAATAATTTACCTGAAGATGTCTTGTTTAGAGGTGAAGCACATGTCGCAAAACGTGCGTGAACAAAATAGCAGTCGTGGATAGATGGCTAATATGGATGGTTGTGGAACTTCTGGTAGTAAAAGTGGTGATTAGTCTTCAGGTGTTGGTCACACATATCAATGGTAGCGGGATCAAACAAAATAATTCTATTCAAATAACCGGTGATATGGACTTCCGCAAGACAACATTTAGTTCAGTTAAATATTCACTTAATTCTGTCACCAAATAATTAAACTATGAATATATATATATATATAATATAATATAATAGATATGGTAGTGAAATTATTATTTAAACAATTTACTTCTCAAATGGCGATGCATAGAAAGTAAAATAGATTCAGGTTTTTACAATAACCATTGTGATGTTTATGTTCTAATATTTACATCAGGTTGACTATCAGGTCATTATCAGCTTGTTTGGTATTTCAAGTAGTAAAAGAATCCGAAGCTTTAAATGTTCAATATATCTTTAATGCGTTAGGCATGTTAAAACAATTGAAAACACCTAACATTGTGACACACTGGCCGTTTGGCGCCGATTTCTAATGGCTCTATTACAGAAATTGCTGTCCCATTTGGCCAGGATAAAGAATTTCTTAGACTATTTACTTACAATTGAAAGTATTTGACACCAATAAGAGGAAACATTCAAGTTATAGTTATATCTATAAATTATATATACTATATTTTAGCAATAAGTTTAATTCATTGCAATGCAATTAACTGCGATATAAATCTTTCATAGCATATGGGTTGGCAAATCGCAAACGACATTTCTAGTGTTTGATTTTCTCTTTTGGAGGTAAAACTTTTAAGTAAAATGCAAATAGCAAAGTAGTTGCTAAGTTCAATAAATAATATATCAGTAGTATGCAAATGTTCTTTTATTTCTAATAAAGAAATAATAGAAATTGATTTATAATTTAAGTTATGTAATCTATTAAATATTCATTTAAAAACCATATACAATTAAGATATTTTTTTATTTTTTAATTATAAACTAAAACTTTGCGTAGTTGGGGATTGTTTCCATTAATTATATATAAATTCAATTATTATTAAAATTGTTATTACCTTTTATACCTTTATCAATATATATTACTATTTTCTGTTCACATGAAGTAACGTAATATATATTTCTACAAATGACAGTTTCCTTCAGATTCCACTAATGTTTTTGACCTCTGATGTACTTTACTGCTCCGCTGGGCATGACAAATGATAAAGGAAATGGTAAATAAAATATACAATTGCGGATACCTTTCGCCAAGAAGCTTAGTCAATATCTGAAAATGATTCTGGAACCTTTCATATTAAATCAATTTCGGGACCGCGCAGTATGTACGAAATATTAAAAAATACATACATATATAGGCTTTATTGTGTTGTAAAAACTTTCGATATCGACAATTTACAGAATTTAATTTGTATATTGTATGTGCCGTGTGGTTCCGGCACAGAATAGGCCATGTTTCTTCTCGTGCATGTCGTAATAGTCACTGAGGGAGGGCGAGGAATGGACAGCAGCATCTCTTTTAAAACACTTCTGAAGCCTAACTGCAATTGCCAATTCGCCTGCCAAGCATGGTAACTACTGGCAAAACCCTCCAAGGGGGAAGCTTATGTTCAGCAGTGGACAGTTATGGCTGATATGATGACGATGACGCATTTGTGTACCAATCAAATATAACAATATAATCAAAATGTAATTGTCTCGATCAAGCGCCACCAAAGCGAGCCAGTATAAACGTCTTTTGCTCTAATTTAACTACATAAAAATAAAACATGTATACTTTCCCCTATTTCACAT